GAAATATATATTTCTTTTAAATTATGATAGAGAAAACTAAGAAAACATGATGCATTTATATAAAACAGTTTCGCAAACCGTAATGATCATTGTAAATTTGTATTTTGATTTTCATTGGTTTTATCAATCATGTATACCCTTCACCAATTAAACGCATCTGTTCTTTTTCTTGATTGATTATAAATTGGTTTTTGTTTTTTAATAATTTATAGCATCTCGATTGACGAAAGATATGGAAAGCATAAGAGAAATCCAACGATCATGGTCTCTTTATGAATTTAAAAGTCGACGCCTCAAGCATTGAATTTCGTATTACATGTATAATTTTTTTGGATAATCAAAAACGAACTGCAATCTTCATATATGTACAATATAATTTCCCTTTTACGGAATAAAGTATAAAATGTATCATTTAACAATGCACATCAATAGATCAAATAAAAATAGAGAATTATCGTTCGTGACATAACGATAATTACCCAAAATTTTTAGTAGTGGTACAAAAAGTAACTACCATCGTACATGTATTTTTTGTCCAACCAAAACAAATATTAAAAACGGTAGATCTCTAACGATTTTTAGATGCATTGCATCGCCTATTTGTTTATCTGTTGGCAAGTTCGAGTGATTGATTGGCCCGCGAACTTTTCTCCGGTTGGCTATTCTCAAGAAAAAAGTAGAAGGTAAATGTTTGGATTAGAGGAAAAAAAACTTTTGCCACGACCGATTTTCAAGACATAATTCGAAGTGAGTGGGCATGTCTTGATCAAAAATTTATTCTTTAACTTAGCGATTAGTATAACAGATCGAATTAATAAGGTTATAGAAAATCCTGGTTAAGAATAATAAAAACCGAAATGCATATGTTTTAGACCATTGATATTGATATGTCTGTCGGTCAACCGAAGAAAATACAAGTCATTAACTTCTTGTTCTTTCATTTTTTTTTAATTTTCTCGATTTGTTTTCCACTAAGGTGCACTACTTTTTTTTCTTCGATTTATAAATTCAACAACTTCTCTCCAAGTCCATTCATCAGCCCTGATTGGGACGCATCGCTGATTGGCTGTCTGCACCTAGACCGACCAATAAGAAAGCATAATTTTTTGATTAATCCGGAAAACGTATGGTTAAATTTAGCTTGGAAGATAATTTTACGCAAAACCTTTTCCTTATATCCGACTCTAATCCTAAATTTGATCTTAAAATCGGTCTTTAATATTCTGAACAAATCAGAACTTTGGGGTGAAATTAATAAATATCATATTAGAACTTTGTACCAGTTAACCTTGAAAGAAAATTTTTCATAAAAATCGCCTTGATTTAATTAAATACCATGTCCACAAAATAGTTGGATAAGATTTCGAAGCAAATTTATGTTGTCTAATCCTGACATCAAACATGAAGTTAAACATACTATCTTGAAACGGGAAACAGTCTCAAGCGAGGTTATATATTTACTCAAAATATTAGAAAAAATATCAAGTGCAAAATTTATTACTTTCCACGAACAAAAAATTGTAATCGAGGTTTGTTTTATAATATCCGTAATGTTCACTGCGCCAAATTCTGACGCATGTTTTCAACTTTACTGCGTTAACAAAACAAGTGGTGGGGGATTAGCTTAATCAAGAATAAACAATTTGTCCGAAAAACCTGTTTGAAAGCACCTATAAACAGAAAGAGGATGATTAGTATATATTGCGAAAAAAAACCGTGTAATCGACGCATATAACTTACCTGAAATTTTTTGTTTGCAGATTATTTCTCGCTTTGGCGCAGTAAGCATTGCGGATATTATAAAACAAATCTGCCTATTACCTCAATCTCTTGTGAATCTTAAAATAGCACGAAGCATAAAGGCAAGACGTGAAGTATATTACGTGTTTTTGCCTATAACCATCTTTCTCAAACATATGCTTCGGGATTTTGCAATAGGTTTGAAATCGTGACTATAGTAAAGAAATCCACTATAGTATATGATCTGCACTATAACTCAATCAAGAACAACCTAACGCTAATTATCGACACCATAAATTTTTCACACTGGTCACAATCACATAAATCCCCGATTTGTGCATGTAACTATAGCGGGAGTTACTGTACGATGTTCTATAGGGAAATTCCTCTTATCATTAAAACAACTCTACGTTCCATCGGGTAAGGATCAACAGACCCATACATTTTCCATCTTTGTATCATTCTCTTTCCTCACAAATAACGCGCGTAATGATCACAATTGATTCCACAAAATAAAGCACGTTAACAAAACCGAACGTAATTCTTGGAAAATTTACGTTTTTGCTCAAAAATGTGACACTTTACTTTGGAAATTGCTAATTTTTGTCACTTATAACCTAATTCAATTCAAACTTTCGATTAACTCGGGACATTAATTGTGTTATGGCCGTTTATTTAATCGGTTCTGGAGCTAGATGACGGGAAAAAGCTGTCACCGAACACAACTATCATCTCTCGTGCTGCTTGTAATTCTCTTGATGATTTCATTGTACGTACATATGTGTTTTCTTATTAATTTGTATCTTCATACAATTGGGAACACAAAAAGTGTAACTTTAAAGTTTTTATGATTATATAGAGGTTAAATTTCCCATGCTTCATAATAGCTGGTACTGGGAAAAAGTGTTAATGTAATAGGTGGTAACTAAACATTTTTTGGAAAGGATCTTTCCTATCATTCTGGTATTTTGCTAAATTTTGATTGAATCTGCAATCTTTTGCACCACCACATTATTTGGCCTGGCTACAGAAATAGAGATCTGTCGTTATAAAATATTTAATTAAAATTTTCTCATCTAAAACATAAATATATCATTATGGGTATAGATTAGAACCTATAAAGACAAGCATGTAAAATTAAAAAAGTAAATGTGAAATTTAATTATTAAAGAACAATGACAAGGGTACTATAATAAGTATGAATAATAAAATGCGATTATGATAATAGACAAATAAAATATTAAGACACACTCGGCGGAAAAATGCGAATTTACTAATTTAACTATGTGACGGCTAATATTTGATGTCTTGTTTACCTCCATTAACTTTTAATATATATCGGAATGGGTAGTGACATATTTTTGGTTGGTTTCTTATAAATATTCTTAAAAAGTTTACTTACATTTCTTATGTTCAAACCTAGCTTTTTGACACAATGCTCGTAAATTAAATTGTGATCTGGTGAAGTTTGGTGCATTTTGAGAGATCCTGATTTTATATTACCAGTCATATGAACAGTACATTATTTTGTTAATAAAATTGTTTGCCAACATCTCTAGCTGATAGTAATTATCAATTAGTTAATTGTCAACTTGTCAACAACATTCAGCATTCATGTGATTTATTGATTCAAGAATTAACTAGATGTCGAGATCGATTTAATTGAGGTGATTTTTAAAAAATTAATTGGTTTATTTCAGAATGTGTTATAGTGATCTGACCCGTTTAAAAAAATACACCTAGGCAACCTGACGGCTGTACTTAAAGGTTAACCAGGTGGGAATCGGGTCAGTTTAAAGAGTCACCCATCTGGATGGCAAGTAGATAAATAAAATAATTTTTGATCGAAAATTTATTGCTATTACTTTATATATCTTATTATGCAAGTAACTGCATTTTACCCTTTATAATTTTCGATCTTCGCTTAAACCTGACCCGATAACTCAAAACCAAAAAATGTCACAGAATTTGCCTGCATTAATTTTAATTTATAATCTTGACTTTTAGCCCACACTATGATAAATTATGGCTTTAATGATATTATTTCATCGAGCATTTTTTTGTATTACATAAGGTTTATGTTTGCAAGCAATACATAGAAATGCTAAAAAGTTCACTGGAATTGGCCTTTTGAGTTTGGACAATTTCGAAAGGTACAGAATCCAAAAAAATCACATGATTGGTCAGGTGATATTTTATAATGTAATTATCTCTTAAAAACTAAGGATTATTTAACAAAAGGATCTTTAAGCATGCACTTTGTTTCAAACAAAGTCGATAAAAAATTGGTGTTTTTACTTCTTTTAATAATGTTAAAGAACATTATTTATAAAAAAGACACTAATTTTAATTATTATTGATTAATTTACAAGCGTATATTAATTGAATTATTAATAAAAAAGCCATTTATTTCTGATTTTGAAATCATTCTAGCTGTTAATGTCTTCTAAAAGAAATTCAAAACTCTCTTGGGTGCGAATTTCAAAGCTAATATTATAGAAATAAAATTTATGTCATAATTTTGTTTGATATAAAGGTTATCATTATATAAGCATCGAATACGCGTCGGTATATATTTTTGTGTGTTAATTACGATCACAGGATGGGGGATTGATCAAAAAAATTTGTGCTTTTCTTATTGGTTAGTCTAGGTGCAGTCAGAAAGATTAATAAAATGCATTAAATGCATACATTTCAAGTGGCGTAATAATTATCAATATGACACACAAAACTTAAAATGCAGTTTCTCACAAATAATAACGATGACAGGTACATGTACAAGTAAAATTTTTGACTCACTTTTCATCAAGCTGAATATATCCGACCGCGCCCGAATTAAGTTAAGAATGCTGCTGCTGCGGTAAAAAAACCAAAGTTGTTGTCTCCGTCCTTCCACATAAAGTTCCTCCTGCGTGTGTGTGTAAAAGTACACACATTTTTATTTTTCTTTTTTCGTAATAGTTCTTGTTATACAGAACGTGTGTTTAAATAGCATATAAACAAGTGTATTTGTTGTGTAATAATACATTATTTTTCACTAAAACTACGCCATTGTTATAAGCTACGCCTGTATAGTACATAATTTCCGATTACATGTATAATATAAATAGACACGATCTATTCTCTGCATTTTTACATTTTTAATAAAAAACACCATATCGATATACAATATACACATACTCTCCAATTTTTCTAATCTTAAATTTAATTAGCAACAAATAGCGACATTAGCAACTATTACAACTATTACAACAATACAAATGGAAAACGAAGCCTGGGAAGAAATTTTTGAATGGGAAGTCGAAGAAGATCTCGACTTGTCAAGTCGCCTCACAATCAAGTCAATTAATATTAGCACCGACGACAATAAGAACAGTGACATTTTAAGTCCTGAATTTTCATTCACTTCCTCGTCCTCAGAAGAAAGCGAAGATGAAGTTTATGAATTTATCGAAACTCACAAACGACCAACATTTGCAAATATTTTAAAAGGATTCCCAGTGATGCCAAACACCAAAAATTTATTACCACCACAATTCACAACTTCATTCCCACGCAAAACTTCGAACAACGAAACTAATAATAATCAACTCACTACAACCGTCGCTAACTATCCAATTACTGAATTCTCCTCGTCAAACGAACTAATTTACAATGAGTTGGAAACATATCAAATACAACGTCAACGAAAACAAAAAGAAATTGCAAAAATACATGAGGAAATTGAGATGGCATTGTTCCGTGACGAGCAAGAACTTGATGAAAAATACGCTAATTTGAAAGCTTATCATAAGTCAATGAAATATAAGAAAAAACTAAAAGACAAGTAATTTGATAGAAGGGAGGGGAGTAAAGGGGCGCGGTTGCAGGGATAAACACATAGATAGAATAACTTTATTTATTTATTTCTTTATTTATTTCATACACATATTTTAATAAAGATCGGAAGTAATAAAAAAGTTCAAATACTCCCTATACCGCATGAAGTTGTGTCTCCAACGATTATGATTATATAAATATAATGAACAGATGGGTCACACAAAATTTTTCTCAAGAATTTAAACATTACACCTGCATGCTTATTTTAATATCAAACGACTTTCGTCGTTGTTTAATTCGCTATTTAATTAAAGAACGACTTGAAAATTCGAAATGTATACACAAATGGGTTGCCAAAAAGATCTATGTTTAAAAATGCGCATTATTGGACGGTCCGTTATTTGTGCTAAAAATGAGAAATTAAAATATTTTATAATGCGTAAGAATCAATGATTAATGAAGTAAACCGAATCAAACAGCTAAATTGGGCTAACAAGCATTTTATGAGCATCGTATGATATTATAAAAGTGAGCTTTACAACCCAAACAACTGTTAAAAAGATAACATAATATATTATGGTATCAAGACATATTGGCGAACAAGGTTTGAATCATTCGATTTTATACAACTGTTAGCCCAATAGAAAATATTTGAAGGGAAGTTAAAACTTGAATTCACCAGAATCAAAAGTCATGAACAGAAGCTCCCTTGGAGGAGGCAGTCTTTATTGCATGAATGCTATTCCTTTAAAAATGATTCTTCAATTTATTGATTCAATGCCAAAACGTGTTAGTAAGTTATAAAAAGAAAGGGGGAGTCATGCGATCCATTGGTAAATGTTTGTTTTTCAATAATGAAGTTAGTAAAAAAAAGTTACTCATTAACGAGGAGAATAATATTGCTGTATGGTGGTTCAACAACTTTCAGGGTGATTTATTCGATTTAAGTATTTATTTATATTGAGTATCGGCGATATGAAAAAAATTATTAATGCTCGTATCTGGTCGGAGAAATTGTAATAATCTATTTCTTTAAAGAAAATACCAATACCGTTTAGCACTGTATATGATCCTGTAGAAACTTTGCCATTTAATTTAAGGCTAAATTAAATGAATTAAATAACAACATTTCTACAGGGGAGAGCACTATATACAGTTCTGGCAGAAAGTAATGGCGGGATGGTCATTAAATCAATATTAAAGATCACAGAAAATATTTATTCCCATTGAAATCTATGTTATAACAAGCGCGTTTTGTCTTCGAAATTTCCAAAACTAGTTATCAGTCATCTGAATCATGATAAGATACGCCTCACGATAACTATTATACAACGCAAAATTTAAAATTTGTAAGGAAAGAACATGTCGGAAAAAGATACGGTTTTCTCGACTTAATTAAATGTTACTGTATATTTATTTACGGGGATCAGCATTTTTGAATAATTCACTATTGAATATTCATTGTAACTGAGTTTTTAATTATTCCATATTCCATAATATCTTAAACTTTAAGAGCAGCCTAATCTATTTTAAAAATTTGATAATATTAAAAAAAAAATAAACTTTTATTACGAAAATGACAATTTTTTATCTCGTGTATAAACTCTTGAGTATTTCGCTTTGAATTGTGTAATAATTTCCTCATAACTTCTATTTTTCCCTCTCGTTTCCATTTATTTCCTTCATGATCCCGTTCGACCAGGTTGCTTTATAAATTGACCCAAAACCTCCTTTTCAAGATATTCAACTCTTTTATCAGATTGTCGATATCTTTATATCCGCTAGACAATTCATCGTTATAAATTTGATTGTGATATTTGATACAGCATCGCAGCCATCATTTTTTTGACATGTTGTGCATTTACTACAAAAGCCTCATCGCCTATCGCTATTGACAATCCGTACATTTACTTTATGTGATCGCTATAGGATGTATAATCATTAGTGACGATCACCATAACATCATTAATCGTTTATAACTGGGTTTTTGATCATTCCATAATATGCTATCAAGTTGCCGTAATCATGGCATTATTATTGCTGAATAATTTGCTTTGAAATGTGTAATGATTTCAACACAACTTTGGATATTCATTCAAAGGTCCATCTAACCAAAACGTCCTGTTGCAAGATATTTAACGTTAGTAAATCTTTCAAAAGAAATCAATTCGAATAATCCATATTTAATTTTATTGCATTCTTTATTAGATTGTCGATATTTCGCATCGTTATAAATTCGTTTGTGATATTTGAAACAGTGAACGCAGAGCTTATTTTGTTCACAATCCGTATATTTACTTCAATCATGAATGTTGTGAACTAAACACTCATCGCAAGATTCATCCTCTTGACAATATTCACATTCATAACAATGATTTGATTCCATCTTTGAGTTAAAATGCTTGAATTTGTCGAAATGATAGAAAGCAAATGAGATATAATCGTTGTCATTTTATAGTAAGTAGGGATTCAAATTCTATGTGCAACTTTTATTACATATACAATATGTGCAGTTTTTTATTATTTGGGTGTGTGCAGACAGCATACAATGTACATGTATGGGCATGCAGTTTTTTATTAAAAGAAGGCTTATTTAGATACATGTACATAGTTTTAAAATGAGTATATGTATTACATGTATTTTATCGCGGGATTAGCTATTTAATTCACAAAAACAGTGATGATATATTCATTTATTTTGTTCATAGAATGCAAAGAAATTGCATTTACTTTCGTTGAAATCAGTTAATTTTATACTCGCTTTTGTTACCGTTACTTTAATTACATGTACGGTCGCCACAAAAAGTAACGCCCGATTTGCATGTGTAACAACATAGGTAAATACTGTATATGCGTCGCGTTTTTCTATTTTTTTGTTATTGTTGACACTAATATTTTCTTCTTTACTTTTAAACATACATTAGGTGAAATTTTTTAGATGCAAATATGATACCCGTCGTACCAGTAGGCCATCTTTGACAAGGATAAAAATAGCGATTTTTATGAAGTTACGAGTATCAAGCAAGTTGCAGGAAAAATGTGATGGAACCCAGTAAGAGTATAATGGTCTCTTGCCAAGTACAAAAGAGACAGGAAAATAAAATTTATCACTGTCTGGAAGACCATAGGCTTTTAAAAAAATGCCATCCTGAGCCATTCACAACATTGATAATAAAAAATTTGTGAAAAAGCTTATCTGAAGATTTTCTAAGATAATTTAGTTCCTTTTCATTGTTCATTAATTTGAGAGAACATGATGTTTCAAAAACATAGAACTTGATTTATATTAGGAAAAAAGTCATGAATAGAATTAAATAGAGAAATCAATGAATATTATATTCTCATGATCCAAACTTCATAGAAATATCTCCAAGTTATTGGAGAATAATATTCTAAAGTGTAAAAGCTTATAAAAAAGTTCAAGATTACTCTGAAGAAAATTTGATGTGTTGACTTTTTAGAAGATTATAGACTCAATATCTTGAGAAATCAAAGTAATATTAGAGCTATATGAAGAGTTAATAATTTATTATTATAATTATTTCATTAAAATCTGTAATTCTGGAAATCATGAAGAGAATTATCCTAATTAATAAATATTTTATAATACTATATATTTTCTGACTTCTTATTTTTCAGTATTATTTTGTATCATATTTGTAATAATATTATTTACACTTCTTAATCACAATATTCTTCAATATATAAGAATATATTAAATCTCTATTTTCTATATTTTCTAGTATAAATTATTAATACTAAAGAATATGATAATTTATCTTCTTATTTTTCTATATTCTTCAATATGGTCCAGTGCAAAAATGTAGATACACGAATATACTATATATAAATTTTTTTTAAAAGTAAAATATTTATAATTTTAAT